TTTTTTTATTTTTTTATTTTTTAAAATTTACATCCAAATTAGTTAGCATATAGTGCGACAATGATTTCAGGAGTAGATTCCTTAGCGCCCCTTACCCATTTAGCCCATCCTCTCTCCCACAACCCCTCCAGTAACCCTCAGTTTGTTCTCCAGATTTATGAATCTCTTCTGTTTTGCCCCCCTCCCTGTTTTTATATTATTTTTGCTTCCCTTCCCTTCTGTTCATCTGTTTTGTCTCTTAAAGTCCTCATATGAGTGAAGTCATATGATTTTTGTCTTTCTCTGACTAATTTCACGTAGCATAATACCCTCCAGTTCCATCCACATAGTTGCAAGTGGCAAGATTTCACTCTTTTTGATTGCCAAGTAATACTCTGTTGCATATATATACCACATCTTCTTTATCCATTCATCTATCGATGGACATTTGGGCTCTTTCCATACTTTTGCTATTGTTGATTGTGCTGCTACAAACATGGGGGTGCATGTGTCCCTTTGAAACACCACACCTGTATCCCATGGATAAATGCCTAGTAGTGCAATTGCTGGGTTGTAGGGTAGTTCTATTTTTAGTTTTTTGAGGAACCTGCATACTGTTTTCCAGAGTGGCTGTACCAGCTTGCATTCCCATACAAGATTTCATTCTTAGTAAACTCCATTACCTCTGATAATTATAACAGAACTAAATGAGCCTTTTTAGTGAAATTTTTTTCATCTTAAGAATATTAACCAATAATAAACTAAATAAAATCAACAATTTCTGTTCTCTTCATCCAATGTGATGCTTTAGGGAATAATGCTTATTTTATTTTTTTTAAAGTTTATTTATTTTGAGAGACAGAGAGAATGAGTATGAATGGGGGTCATACTCCATTACCTCCATACTGCATACTCCATACTCCATGAATGGGGAGATAGAGGGACAGAGGGAACCCAGGCAGGCTCCACACTGTCAGTGCAGAGCCTGACGTGGGGCTCTATCTCACCAACTGGGAGTTCATGACCTGAGCCGAGATTCAAGAGTAGGACACTTAACTGACTGAGCCACCCAGGTGTCCCTTAGATGCTTATTTTATAAAGCTTCCCTCAAACACATTTGTTCACCCATTTCCAGATTCTTCTACCCATTACAGTTTGGCCTCACCTCTCATCTTGAATTATCAAGAGTAATTTAGTTAACTACTAAAAACATTAGACTTTTTAATAGTATTAACCATAATCTATTAACCATAATCTAAAGCTTTAGGTTATGGTCAAGCTTATAAAGTACTTATGCTTATAAAAACTGAATTAAAAGGGATAAAGCATGAGAATTAAGAGATACATTAAGACTGTATATTATTTTATTTTTCCTGCAGTTCTTAAAAATTTGTGTCCCAAATAGGACGACTTTCTTAAAAATATGTTTTTGTTGGACACACTATGGAAAGCACAAAGAAATAAAAGGCATAATATATAAAATAAATAAAAGAACTTTCACATTTCAATTCCACCAATGAGATTGCAAAAATAAGAGAAATTGAATCAAAACTTATTTCACATAGATTCCTCTTTTAAAAATATTAGATAAATAACAGCTGTTTCTAGAAGTTCTCCTTTGATCTGTTTTGATTTCAACTTTGGAAATGATGAAGCAGAGACATGAATGGGTCCACCTCTAGCTACGCAATCTCTGGCAATAACTGTTTTTAATAAAATGTGTAGAGAATGAGATGGGGTAAGTTGGCTGCAAGTTTGAGCAGTAATTTTCCCCATGGCTGTGTCCTGTACATAGTTTAGTTTACTAGAAATCCTTTTTACTGAGAACTTAATAACATTTTGCTCCTCATATACCTTGTATCAACAAAGAGACCTAAGTGAAACAAGACTGAATGTTTTGCCCCAAAACACAGTGAGTCGAGAAAGAAGTCTGAATTAGCTACTTAAAATCTCTGAGCTGCAGGAAATTGCTCTCCCTGTGTAGATCCTGATTCTTCAGTGTTTGGCTTGTGAGTTTTGAGAACACATTTGCAAATAATTGTAAGGTGTCCTGGTTAGACTAACTCCAAGTGCATGAAGACTGGAGGAAGACCTTATAGGGTGTGGTGGAAGTGAAAACTCATTTAAATACTTATAGGGTGATAGGCTCCAACTGATCCCTTGGGAATGGGATATCGCTATCCTTGAGTAGTGTTTCATGAGGCAGTTGTCCTGCAAGGGACAAGTGGAGTCTTTTCAGGAAGTGGGTTAGGAATTAATTAGTGTAATGTCATCATTGTGCCTGGTAACTATGATGTTTCCAGACCTAGAAGACTGTGTGTATTTTGGGTTCCACATCTGAAGAGAAAGCATATACTGTTCACACAAACAAAACCCTGTCAAAACTGGGACGGTCCTGAAAAACTTCTTATAGGAGATCAGGCTTTAAAATACAACCAAAAGTCATTTCAGTAGTGAAAGTTGACCAGGATATGACTTCAGTTTATTTAATCATGAATGGTGTGCAGTCAGGGTTAATTGTATTTTTGTTCACCGAATCCCAGAGAACTAAGGCCTGATTTTAGCTTGAAAGAAAAGTAGTGCTCAAGAAGTTGAGTTGTACAACATTTAGTAAATCTCCTACACCATTTATTCTTAAAAGCCATATAAATTGAACATAAAATAATCTTTTGAATAAAAAAAATCTTTTGAATAGCCCATAAATACATGAATAATAGCAATAATAATGAAGGAACTATGGATATCTGGATGAATACCTTCCTTGGGATTTACTGGCAAAGAAAATATTTGTGTAGGATGTGAGCTGAATGCACCAGAAGGTGGCACTTGGTATGTTTTTATATTCTTGATTTCATAATATGAATACATTTTAATGTGTTTTACGGGATAACTACTTAATGGCATTAAAAGGTTATGAAAGCAATATGCTCATGCTTACTGAAAAATAATACTTCTTACTGCCTGCTCCTATGGATAAATAATTACAGTGTAGTATACATATTTTTAAGCCTTTAAATGCATATATGTGTATGTACATATCTTCTTTAATTTTTAATTTTCTTTTTGCACAGTAATGGGAGCACACTATATATGTTATTATATAGTTTGCTTTTATTCACATAACAATATAACTTGGATATCTTTTCATTATATTAAAAATTGCCTTTATCTTTTTAATGATTGCATAATATTCCACTCTTAGGTTGTCCTACACCAGCTATCCTCCCTTTGGAGATGGATATTTAGGTTGACATAGACATTTTTTTTAAGTTTATTTATTTACTTGACAGGGGAGCGGGGGCAGAGCGAGGTAGGGAGAGAGAGAATCCCAAGAAAACTCTGTACTGTCAGTGTAGAGCTCGACACGGGGCTCGATCCCACGAATCGTGAAATCATGACCTGAGCCAAAATCAAGAGTTAGACGCTCAACTGACTGAGCCACCCAGGTACCCCAGGTTGACATAGGTTTTTTGCTATTACACATAACCCTGCAACAATCATCCCTATACACATGCACTTGTATTTATGAGTATTTCTGAGAGAGACACTTCTAGAATTGGAATTGAGTCAACAAGTACATGTCGAATCAGGTTATCAACTGAATTGGGGATAGGTCTGACACTATATGTACGTGAAAATCTTCATTTTGTTACTTGGCTAATACTTGTGACTTGTGTAACTCTTACTGTTTCTTTTGCTTTATTTTCTTTCAAAGATCATCATAAGTATTCTTTTTCCACCCACCATTTTGTCATTGGAATTTAAAAGCAAAGCAGAGATGTCACATGTTCCCCAATCCCAGGACTTCCAGTTTGCGTGGTATTATGGTGACCAGAACGCCAGCAATGCCAAAGAAAGTGCTTATACGGTTAGTACAATATCCCCAGGAACTAAGCTTTCATATGCATTCGTACACATTTTCATACACCTGCACAAATGTACACATTCCCAAAATTTGTTTAGGAAACAACTTATTTAGCAATCTTAGTCATATTATCTATGATCAGGCATAGCATGTATGATATGTCTAATTAACCCCCATATATGATTAAGCAAAATATCCCATTTCTTTGGGAAATAAAGTCTTTATTCTGCCTTGATGGCTGCTTCACTTTTCATTTTCCCTTGTGACAAGTAGAATAAATAGAGTTACTGTTTCTCTAAAGTTACAATGAGGAATGCCTCATATCCTTAAAAATCTTTATTTGTTAAGATGCAGGTTTAGAATTTGCATTATCTTTACTGTTTCACTGCACAGTTTTTTTTACATTCGTTATATCCAGTGACCAACTAATTTTACATGAGTTCCCAGTTTATATGCTTTCCTGAGTAACTTGAGCTACTGCTCTCGCAACCTGTCTTCATTGGAAAGTCCCCAGTATTCTGTCTGTGCACGTATTTTTTGCTTTTTTGTCTCAACTTGGATCATTACTTATAAACTTATTACTGTAAGTGCAGTGACCGTCTTCTGTGGTACTTAATATTTTAATGAGGTATCTTTAGTTAGCATCTTTTTTGGATATGCTTTTGCACTTGTGAAGTATTTGTTATAGTATCTAAAAATGTATTCAGTAAGTATTAAATTCAAAATAATTATAATTAGCGGGTATGGCTGACGTCTGTTTTGATTGGGTGAGCATCCATTCTGATTGGTTAATGCCCCTATCAGATCAGTTGTTAAATATTTTGACTCTCATGCCTGTTTGGGTATATATGTATTCCTCTCCTCTACCCTCTCTCCCTTCCTTCCATCCTCACTTTGCTAAGACTGATGTTTTATCTGGGGTTCTCAGAGTATAAGATGACAGGTGCATTCTAACCTCTGTAGAATGCGTGAGCAATTATCTTGCCGAGCTGGGCTAATCAAGTTGTCGCAATTGTGACTGTACTGGCTAGATGATATGGTTACTAAGCACAGACCATTTCAAGTGTTTTTTTAAGGGAAGATAAGAAATGCAGTGTTGGCTTAACACCTTTAGAAATAGAATGAAGTCTTCATATGTGAGATATTTTGTTTGAATTTGCTCATTTATATGTTCACACTGAGTTAGTTTATTGAAGTGAACAATGGAGAAAGCTGCTTATCTACCTACCTATCTATCTATCTATCTATCTATCTATCTATCTATCCATCCATCCACCCACCTACTTATCTATAAACAAGTGTATAAATATGTTGGCAGTTGGTAGCAAATAGTACTTTGCAAGCGGATGTAACTTCACTTTTGGCTCTTACAGGTTTCACGGAAAGCTAAGCTCCCACAAACACTTAAGGCATTGTAGATAGCTGGAGCATTCCACTAAGTAGTCATTCTCAAAGGGGAACTTTTAGAGTAGGAAGTCCTTCCTTAAGTGGCAATTAACTATACTCTTAACATTGAAAAATATGGTACGTTCTCACAATTCCCTGAAAAATTAAACTTTGGCTGTACTGTAGTGGTTCTGTTTATAACAATTGCCCACCTGGATGCTTTGGACATGGCCATATCAATTTATCAATTAAATTAATATTTAATGGCCACCTCCCATGTGCCAGATAAGATACAGTGTTCTGGGGACACTGCATGGTGGCTTCTGCCACCATGGGGCTTATAATCAGGCCGAGTACCTGCGATACCTCAGCATTATTCAATTTAAAGCATTTTTTAAAAAATGTTTCAATTTGTCCTGTTCTGAATGGATTATAATCACAGTAACAATGTTCTCTTGTCTATGAATTTAACTAGAGCAATAGTTTTTGATTACCTGCTTTATGTTTGGAATTTTGCTAAGCAGAGAGTCAGCATTTGATGAGACGGTAAGATTTCACAATGTTGATTAAATATAATATGCTTGATAAGTTGAAGAACACAATTTGTATTCTATATTTTGGGAGAAAAGTGAAGGCAGGTAGATGCTCTTTTAGCAGGTCTTTGTAGTTTGTCCTTGTGGTAATAGTAGGTGATAATGAATATAACGAAAGTACCACCGGTAATAGGAAAAGGAAGCCCATTGTTCTGAAGCTGTGTAGATTCACCCACTGCATCTGCTTCATGAGGTTTTATAAAAGTCCTTACTGAAGTCTCTACAGGTAAAATAACTTTGCCATCAGAAGTTTAATCTATCTAGCTGCTAGCCCTTTGAAAGCATGACTTTTGATGACAGGAGCTTTCTTAGGAACAAATTATAGCAAGATGGCCGAATGCCTTAACTAGAAGAAGAAGATTCTTCTCATCTGGTGTCAGTCAGTGAGGATTGGAGATTGGTGGTGGCTTCATGAATGAGGTAGTGGTTAAGATGGACTTATGTGGAAATAGCATTTCTGTGGAAGGACAGATAGTAGGTAGGGGCCCAGAGGCAGGAATTGCAAGGCATATGTCAAACATCGTATGTTCCTTGGCTTGGCTAGAGCCCAGGTTATAGTGGATATGGGACAAGGAGGAAATATTTGTGGGTATGGCTGGGAAAGTAGATTGAGGCTAGATCATGGAGACTCTTGTATATCCTATGAGGGAATGTGGTATTTTTTCTGTAGGTAACAGAGACCCCGTGGATGTATGTGATACAGTAGCAAGATGCTCTGACCATTAGGAAAATTATTCTGCCTCCAGCGTAGAGGATGACGTGGCAAGAAGATAGGCTGAAAACAGGGAGAACATAGCCTGGTGTAACCATCCAGATGAGGAGGATTACGGGCTTTGGCCAGAGTTAGTAGCAATGGGCATAGAGAGGAAAAGAGAAATCTTAAGTGAAGAATCAAATAGAGTTTGAACATGGAGCATGAATGAAAGGGAGGTAGCAAATACGACCAAGAGGTTGATGGTTAAAACAAGGACATCTTGAAAGGATATGGGAATATTTGGAAAAGGAGCAGGTTTGGAAGGAGAAAGAGGAGTTTAGTTCTTAGACATGTTGATAAACTACAATGAAAAAATGTTTTCAAAAGTTGAACGATAATGTGTTTGATCAGACCATCATTAAGTGGGGAAGATGATAGTAATACAGTGGCAAATAGGTATGAATTTTAGTAGAGTTGATTGTTGTAGTTATAATTTTATCCTGTGTGCCTGCTGATAGCAGATTCCTTTGAGAGAAAGAGGAAGGAGAGAGGACAGGGGAGAGGGGAGAGAAAAGAGGGAGAGGAAGGGGGAGAGAGAGAGAGAGAGAGAGAGAGAGACCATTTGATTGATGATATTGAGATTTGAATAGAAAAAAAGTTAGCTAAGTGAAACATTTTTATGTTTACCTTCTTGTAAGGGTGAAGGAAGGAAAGTCCTGAATCTGAATTTATATTCTCACATTGTCTTCCTCATGGTAGTTGGGTGTCTTTGAATTCAACTTAGAGAGAGGCCCAATTAGGGCTTTATAACACATACCAAATTGTCAAGAGTTAAGTAAGACCTAATGAGAAATTCCTAGAAAAAAATAATAAGAGATATTATTTACTCACAAAGTCATTACTTAAATTGCTTTCTGGGGTCTTCTTAACGTGGTACTGATGTCATTAAAATCACAGTAAATGAGGACTTTTCTTATTGGTTCTAAGTTATTTTAACTCTGGGCTGGTCCAAACCTGTTAGGAACCAGATCAGTTCCTATACTTTTAAGTCACAACCCCAATTTCATTGCCCAAAGTGATGTGAATGACAGCCATCAATCAGACACTGAGATAACCGGTCTAGAAGCCAGAAGCCTCAAAAATTACATTTTCTCAATTTTATGGACATTTCAAGCAACACTTCGTTTATTCCTTGTCTTGTAAAATCATACCAGTCTTGCAGGTGTGACAACTAGAGAGAGATCTTTGGTGGATAGGATGAGAAACGTACTTGTCAAAGAAGCATCAGAGAACATTGCTTTCTTTTCATTTAATATTTTTTAAAGTCACAAAAGGAATGCATTTCCTGTTTAAAAATTAGGACCACACAGACCTTTATAGAGTAGGGTGACATCTCTTTGCTTCTCTTTTACCATTCCTAAGTTCCCTCTTCCCCAAAACAACCAGGCTACAAGTAATACTTTCTTTTCTTTTCAGTTCTTTCCGCCCGCTTTTTACAAGGCTTTTATCCTGTGTGCACACCTGTGTAGTCACGGTCATGCATCCCCTTGTCTGCCACACAGATGCTTATTTCTCATCACCTACAAAGGTTAACCCCTTTGGACTGACACATCTGTTGTAAGAAACTGGTGAAAGATTTGGTGCTTTCCTTGGAAAAATATTTGCATGTACAACACAAATACTGGCGTATAGTTGCAGGAGGATTCAAGGAACCCTGGAAGCTCAGAGAGTCCATGGACTTTAGGCACAGCACCCCTGCCATCAATGAGGGCTACATGTCTGCTATCAAAAGCCAAAATTCTAAAACTCATGCTGTGCCCAACTTTCCTAGGACTTGGGAAATACATCATCGATGGGTGTCTATTTTGTCTTCCTCTATTATGGAGATAGTTGTATTATCTGTTAATGATTTCAGGGGAATGTTATGATATCTTTAGGTTTCAAAATACTGACAAAGGAGGTTAAGCAGAATAGGAGCAGGGACCACTTTTAAACCCTTGGAACTACTCTTGGTCTGACTAGGTTTCATTATTGGATACTTGGCTTGCATTTCAGAGATCTCTTGGGCTCCTTCCCCAAAAGTCAGAGATTTATGCAATACATGTAGTTTTCTTTCCTCGCAAGACTAAGATTATAATTTGGCAGGTGGGTGCCCAATTAATTTCTAATGTATTATATTCATAAATAGTTACATATTTTGGATGTTTGCAAATATCAGGATTTTAGTTAAGGCTCTGACAATAAATGATTATTTATTTTGCAGAAAGACCGTGATTTGGAGAGAGGCCCTGATGAGAAACTAGATGAAAATCAGCACTTTGATTTAAAGAGTGGTCCCCAAAGCCTCCCATGGACCAGGAAAATCTATGAGTTCTACAATGCTCCAATTGTCAAGTTTTGGTTTTATACGGTTGGTCTCATTGCAGCAATTAAAAATAGGCTTCATGATGGTCAATAGTTAATGATGATTTTGGTAATGATATGCCTGGTTTGCCAACTTGTGATAAAATGTAGAAGTGCGATAAGAAAAAAAAATGAGGGGAATCACAGAGGAGGTAGGAGAGAAGATTGGAGGGAGGTGAGGACAGGTTGTAGCAAATCTCTCTTACTATGGGAGTAAAAGAACAAGAATTTTCTTCTTTCCTGAGCGCTTCCTATTAGCTCTGCTGGGACTGAGCCTGTGAAACTTTGTGGAACAGCCAAGTAACAGTAGTGGTTGTAGAATTAAGTGATGGCTGTGGATCCTTTTCTCATCTTGGGCAAAGAAATCAAGCAGTTGAGTTGATTTGTTATTTGTAGGTGTAATGTGTAATATGAACAAAAAATGCAAAGTGTTTGCTTTTTGTCTTCAATCACATATGATTATAAATATAGAGAGAATAATAAAACTTTTTTATTTTATTTTATTTCATTTCATTTCATTTCATTTCATTTCATTTCACTTCACTTCACTTCATTTCATTTCATATCATTTCATTTTCCTCTTCTGACACCCCCCTCCGCCTTGGAGGACAATGACATTGCAGAAGTTAATTTTATAAATAAATAATACATTTAATATTGATAGTAGTGATACAGAGAAATCATTAACTGCACTTTAAATGTAATGAGTGCTTTTCACATTTATTTAATAACATTTATTTTTCTAATGCTTACTTATACTTTAAATTGCTCCTGGCCAAATTGTGTATTTCTAAAACATTTCAAGTGCGATTATAAAAGGACACTTATCTAAATGTGTTACATTGCAAAATATTTACTTGCCCATCCAAACGTGTATTTCATATATTTATTAAATATGTACATAGTTCCGCTATCAAAAATCAAATCTTCCTTCAAATGATGAGGTTTCACCATTTTTTGTGAATGTGTAACAAAATATCCCAAAGTCTCTGGTAGTAGCTTTGAGAGACTTTTAGCCATAGCCATGTCATTGAGAAAAAAATATTCAATATTTCTGTTCTTGGAAATCTCCAGCCGATGAACTCTTAGGGACAGGAGTAAAGCTAAGCAAAGAGAACAGCAACAACACATAGTTAACAAACAAATGGAACAAATTAGCCACCTGGGTCTGCCCCCCCATAATGGACAGTGTTAGCAGTGAACACAGACGTTCTTGACTTGATGTCACATGGCTCGGTTATGATGTGCGTGTTTTACTGAAGCAGTGTCTTGTTACAAATGTGATGATGAAGAAGAAAAAATGTAAACATTTTTGGATCTTTTAAGAGTTGCAAAGAAAGAAAGTATCAGGGGGCAATATTACCAATATCTACGGTGATTTAGTGTTTGGTCATCATGAAGCCAATGACAAAAAGGAAAAAAAAAAGATTACTTGATAGAACAAATTTATTTAAATTATGTGTCTAAGTGGTCATCAAACATGCTTAGACTTTGAGGAATAAACTTCGAGAAATATAGAATTAACAGAATTTACCTTAACTTTCTTATGTGCTTGCTTTTCTAAACTCTTTATCTCATAGGCAGCAATACCCACCGTGCCTTCCCCAAATACCACCCATTGTATATACAATGACTACTGTGTAGTTAGAAGTGGTTTTGGCCATTCTCTGCGTAGAACTCTACTGGGAGGGTAATGTACCAAGCTTAGGTAGAGCTCAGAAAGATCTGAAAATAGAGATTCAGGTTAAAGTAATATGATTCACTTCCTTGAGAATGAAAATGAGTGCACACACACACACACACACACACACACACACACACACACACACGTCCCTCGCTATTGATCTGGGGCTTTAATACATCTGTCGATCAGCTAGCACTACATATTGTCACTGAAGTCATTAAAAGAACACGGTCTCATGCATTGTTGGTGATTATGGAAACTGGTAAAGCCTTTCTGATGGGCAATTTAGTAGCATTGTCACGGATTTAAATGTGTATGCCCAGTGATTCTACTTCTGGGAATATATCTTAAGATAATAAGAACGTTGGAAAAGATTACAAAGCTATTAGTCCCTATGTGTCTATATATGTGTGTGCTTAGTGTGTCTTAACTTTTTGAAGATATTGGAAATCTAGGTTTAATATATATAGTTAAAAATGAAACATGCATTTCTTGAATGTCTACCATGTGTTAGTTTGAGTGCTGAAGATAAAAATGTGAACAGTCTTTCACTACAAGGACTCACAGTTGGACGATACTTTCCCGCTAACCAGGATGTTTTTATCAACATAAAATAAAACTCCCAGCAGAAGCTAATGTCACATTTTATTACATTCGAAAATAGACACCTACTGATACTGCTCCTTGGTGTACTTGGGGCACGTGTTTTCTATGCTTACAGGGAGGGGAAAGTGTATGATTCTCTCTCGGTTTGTCGTTAGCCTGACGGTGTCCATGTCGGCATGGGCCGGGTTCCAGAAATTCTGGTCAGGAGCCAACAAGATGAGACAGTGCCCCATTCCATGCATTTGGGAACAGCGGTCTTCATTGCTTTCATTAAATTCTGGCATAGAAAACTGTACATTCTTGTACTTTCCTTGAAATCAGGTTCTGCGTAAACGGAAGTTATATTTCCATGTTATCATGTTGAAGTTCCTTTGTGTCTCTGCTTGGCTCGGTTTGTGTCTACTTGGCATTCTCCATTACGACTCTCACTCATGTCCAGGGAATGTGTGTCCCCCTCATAGATGGCATATTTGGCATTCCTCATGCTGTTCACTTACACTGTGTTGGTGGAGATGCAGCCCCAGCCCAGCGTGCAAGAGTGGCTTGTTATCATTTATATCTTCACCAATGCCATTGAGAAGGTCAGGGAGGTGAGTCGCCCCTTCTACCTTTGTCTTCTCCACCTCTAGGAAGAGGTGTTTTGGGCTCGTGATGAAAACGGACAGATACAGCAAGGGTGGGGGCGAGACAGGCAATGCTGATCCTGATTTGCTCGGGATAGAAAGGGTATTTAGGGGAAGATCTCTGATCTCAACCCTTAATCCTTGCCAAAGACTTACTGCTGGTTGCTGCTCTTTGAAAGCAGTTATTTTTAAAGACGTCCAAGTGTGTTTATCTGTCTTAGAGTGAGGCTATCTAATTGTTGTTAGACCCTCCAACTGTTTGATTTCCCAGAAGGTTTTTTTATTTTTAATTAGATTGATTTTTATAGCCTACCATTACTGTACCTTGTCAGCCTCATTTTACAGTAGGCAAATAAGTGGCCAGAGTTGTGCAATAAGGAAAGAATTCATTGATGGCTTTTGAATCATTTTCCTAAACACCTTTGAAAATTGAAACTGAGAATCCCTGAGGCAAGTAGTCCAAAAGACAAAACAAAACTTTCATTTTTGGTTTTGCAAGCGAGTCGCTTAAAAAAAACCCCAGAGGTAACATTCATGCAGGTTTAACTATAATCATATGCAGCTATAACTTTGTTTTACACGTCAGTGTATATGTGTCTCGATGTATATGCATTCACATACCTTCATTTTGTTCTGGAGCTAATATGATGAACACTGTATACTAAGTGAATGTATTCTTAGTAATTATACCTGTATCGCCTGCTAGTCAGTATCGTGGAGTTTATAGAAAACAATTCAGGAGAAAAACCTCTGAATGCCACCATTTTTTATGCTTTGGGAAAAATAAGTTTATGACTTTACGTTTGAATTTGTCTGATATTCTTTTGCAGGGGTAATTTCTTATACTAGTGACTTCTAATGTGGCATTCTTAGTGATTTGTCAACGACTCACTAAGTAGTGGTAGCAGGACTCGATTACAGGATTCCTTGGTTTCAAACCAGTTTCCTCTGTACTGGCTCTCCCTCATGAAAACAGAAAGGTAGCTGTAATAGACCCACGGTAATACTGAGTTTTTAAATGTCTTGGTGGCCCCCTGTGTTAGCTTAGGATTAATGAAAGGTAGGAAAACGTATTCTTTTTTTTTTTCTGGTTTGTTTTTCAAATAGCTGGTGACATTAAAACACATTTATAGAACCGTTTTAATAATTCATTGGCCAAGGATAACTGAAGGCTCTAAAATACCCTTGTGATCAAGGTTTGGTGGGGTTCAAATTATTCTCTAAGCCAGCAGTTGATGTGCCAAAGAACAGTATTATGAGCCCCTTGGGTCACATTCCATTCTTTAAATTTCCCTCTTTCTTTCTTCTTTTAGGTCTGTATTTCAGAACCTGGGAAGTTTACTCAAAAGGTGAAGGTATGGATTAGTGAGTACTGGAACCTAATAGAAACTGTGGCTATTGGCCTGTTTTCAGTTGGTTTTGGCCTTCGGTGGGGCGACCCTCCTTTGCACACAGCGGGAAGACTAATCTACTGCATAGACATCATATTCTGGTTCTCACGGCTCCTGGACTTCTTTGCCGTGAATCAACACGTAGGTCCATATGTGACCATGATTGCAAAAATGGTGAGTACGATCTGTTTGTGTGTTCTGGGGTCCTTTTTAATGACTTTGCCTACTTTCATGGTTCACATCCAGTAGTTTAACCTTTAGAATTGTTTATAGAAGCACAGACATTGAGTTCATGTCGTCTCTGCTTTCTTTATAACCACAAACTCATATTTAACAAATGTCCTTGCAGAGTATATTGGGTGATTGATAAGGAGACTCCACTTATTAGCCTTCTGGTTACGGCCAGAAGATATGATTGAATCAAATGTGTCTCTGAGCACAGTGATTCTCGAAGGTCAGATTTGTGTGAGGCTACCACCAGTAATATTTTCTGCTAACACTTTCAATGTATCTTTTTATCTCCTCACCCGCAGCCAACTCTTAAGTAGTATGCGTTATGGGCTGCACTATATTCTAAGTACTTGTACCTATTAACTCATTTAATCTTCAAAATAACATTATAAGATAGGCACTGTTACTGTTGTCCATATTTTTCATACACGGAAATGGAGGTTAAGTAAATTTCCCCAGGGCATAAGTAGGGGAGTCAGGTTTCAAATCTGGACCATCCGGCTCTGTCATCTGAGCCTGCTGTGCAGTTGGGTTAGCCTTCTCCAACTGGCTTAGGGACCTGAGACCCACCCTCTAGGAAGTACTCTCCAGATCATCTTTGGCTTTTCCTTCTGGAATACTCACTGGCAGGGATGGGGCAAGTTCTGGAGAGAGAAGGGTAGTGCTTGAACAAAGGAGAACAGAAGAGGGAGAACCTCTAGGACTCCAAAGACAGATTTTTCTTTCTTTACACTTATATGTAAAATTTTTTTTCTTTATATTTTTAAACAAGAAATGTTCTCTGGTCTTGGTGGCATTGATATTTATCAGATAGGTTGTGCTGAGGTAACTGATACATCTTGGTGAGTTAGCACAAGTTATTTCTCCCTAATGCAAAGTTTAATGAGTGTTCATGGGGGCTGAGCTCTACCCTATAACTCAGGGATCAAGAATCCTTTTATCTTGTGACGGTGCCATGTCAACATAACATGGATTCCAAGGTCTCCTGTGGTGGGGAATGAGAGGGATGGAGAAAGTTTAACAGCTTTTAACTGTTCTGGGCAGGAATTAAAATAACTCACTGCCACTCCCCAGGCTATCGGTTAGAATAGGTCATATGGTACCAGCTTTGTGGAAGGGAGGCTAAGAAATTCAGAGGAGCTCATGAAATACTCATGAAATAAGTGAACAAAAGGGTTGAATTGATGTACATTTAGTAAGTGAAATGAACATGACCTGATCCATTTCTCAGTCTCTAATTGATTCCTGAAGATAACCTTAGGGATAAGGACTCCTTTGACCAATTTGAATACTCCCTATTTTTTTGTTTAAGCACAGATTCTTCACCCTCAACACATCTATGTTTTTAGACAGACATTGACATGAAACATGCTGTGACAGAGGGAAGGAAATGGTTTAGCCAAAGGAAACCCAGCTAGTCATGGACTACGGCATTTTGGTCAATGACTAGACAGTCTTAATACTGGGAGGTGTGATTATGAATGCTGCTGGTGTTTGATTTGTTCTAAACTTAAAATGAGAGGTAAAGTTCTGGTTGTGCTGTGTTATTTTGTAGACCGCAAACATGTTCTACATTGTGATCATGATGGCCATCGTCCTGCTGAGCTTTGGAGTGGCACGCAAGGCCATTCTTTCACCAAAGCAACTGCCATCTTGGAGCCTTGCTCGAGATATTGTATTTGAGCCATACTGGATGATATATGGAGAAGTCTATGCTTCAGATATAGATGGTGTGTTGGGGATTTTGGCATCGTTCAGAAATCAAACCCTTGTAGATACTCAGAGTAAAAAAACAATCTGGAAAATATTCATCTGGATCTTAAAGATGTCAAAAATTTATGGTATTCTGCTAAGTTAATGTGATAAATATTTGTGTAGAACCATAGGACTGTGATTCATCTTATCTCTCATTCTGTTAAATTCTTTATTTGTAGTTTGTGCAAGCCATCCGTCTTGCCCTCCTGGTTCTTTTCTTACTCCGTTCCTCCAAGCTGTCTACCTCTTCGTGCAGTATATCATCATGGTGAACCTGTTGATTGCTTTTTTCAAGTAGGTTATTTTAGTTAAATATGGTTATTTTATTTAAATCAAAATGGGGGCAGTTGTTTTGAGTAGATTCTCATATTTTGGGTATGTAACCTTTGGTTTTTGTGTGTGCCATTTTCTCCCCCTTTTCCTTATGGTTTTAAAACATGGGCATGAAACTACTGGTAGGAAGGGAAGAGAGCACAAGAAAAGGAAAAAAAAAACAATAAATGGAGAGAGTAATAAAAGCAGAATGAAAGGAGATCATGCATTGTAGTAAAGTAGTAAGTTGGAATCGCGGAAGAATAACTGTTGCTGAGATTAAAAGCTGACGGAGGGCTTCTTTGTGACTTTTCGTTACTTGGCTCCAGTATGTCTTCCTCTTTGCTTCCTCTTTCTCCCTTTTCATTTCTTCTCGGTCTACTTTTCTGGATCATCTCCTTCTCCTCAACCTTTTAACCTTGGAACTTCCCTGGGCCCAGACCTTGCTCATCTTTTATTTACATTTCGTTTGGTGATCTTGGTCAGTTTCCTGTAATGCTGACAAATTCCAATTTGTATTTCCAGCCCGAATCTCTTCCTTGAACTGCAGTCTTACAGCTCCAACTGCCCCCTTATCTGCTACCGGTTGGATGTATAATAGAATTCTAAAAATTCTAAGTGTCCACCTGATCTCCTCTCTTTGCCAGCATGTACTTATTCTACTTGTCATCTTTCTCAAATCTACGGAGAAGACCACAAGTTTCCATCAAATCTCCATTTCCCCAGTTGTTCAGATCAACAGCCTTGGAGTCATTCTTAATGCTACTTATGTCTCTACCTCTAAACTGCCAGGGACTCCTGTTGACTCTGCCTTCAAATAGATCATCGATCCAACCACCTCTTACCACCCCACTGCTACTGGAGAGCCTCCTACTTATTTCTCTGCTTCTGTCTTTGGCTCCTATATACTGTTATCAACAGTTGTCCCTAATGACTCTTCAAAGACATATGTCAGATGGTGTCACTACTCTGCTCCAAACCCTCAATGGTTCCCCATTTCACAATTCCTACCATGACCTAGAGAGCCCTGGTGAGTTGGTTTTCCTGCTGCTTTTAAAATCACACATCACACTACTCTTCCCTTAACCCTTTCCCCTCCAACCACACTGCCC